AAGCCTTCATAGTACAACTTGTAACTCCCTTCACAATGATCTGAGCTAATTAAGGAAGTCTACAAGTTAATTAACTAAGACACTGTCACTTTGTATGTTTAGGTTATATAAATTAACTTTGAAAGTAAGTACTAAATGTAAAACCAATGAACCAAAAATTACTTAAGTTTGGAACCCTTTGGTTATTTTGGTTTATTAACCTTACAAAGGTTATAGGGGTATAAATTGTTAAATTTGACTTCTGACCTAAATAATGGACATTTTAAGTTAGTTCCACTAAATTTATTGCTAGTCTACAAAATAATAGTTGTAATTAAATAGTTTAATATTTAGCATGTGGAACAACTGCAAGCCTACAGACCATTCACCACTACATGGTGCACAGAGGCAGTATGAAATGTGTGCACTTTAAAGTAGAAAACGTCACTAACTTGGAGAAAATAATGAAGATGAGGAGACATGTTAAAAACAAAGTTTTTACTCAACATTACTGCCATATTATAAAAGTTCAAAGTTAGTTGTCAGCAGAATACCAATTAGTGAAACTCTTCCTACTGATTTACTTTGTAATATAGAAGTCAGTGAGTTAATGAGGCAATCCCAAGAGTCAGATGCATTATGTTACGCACAAAAATGTGCAAGTTACTTCAGTTCTTGGGTCTTGGTTTCTTCATGTTATAAAAATAAAAGAACATGCTGGGCAATGGTGGCACATACCTTTGCTCCCAGTGGGAGGCAGAGACAGGTAGATCTCTGAGTTTCACACCAGCCAGGTAAGGGAGGGAGGGAGGAAGAAAGGAAGGAAGGGAGAGAGAGAGGAAGGAAAGAAAGAAAGAAAGAAAGAAAGAAAGAAAGAAAGAAAGAAAGGAAGGAAGGAAGGAAGGAAGGAAGGAAGGAAGGAAGGAAGGAAGGAAGGAAGGAAGGAAGGAAGGACAATTCTAATTATAACATCCATGGTGGCTGAGGGAGTTGGCTTTTCTATGAGCTTTATTTGGAATCCCTAGGCCATCTCTACTACTAAAACACTAGTTTAAAAGTTGTACTTTCAGGAAAAATTCAAGTGCAAAGTAGATATTCTACCTACCTTCTCCAATTACAAAGATTTAAGTAAAATGTCTAGTTCTGCCACTGGCCTATCTTAGAATGAACCTCAAAAGTTAAAGGTCTAGGTTCTCTTGGTATGTATTAATTTTATATGGATAGGTGCCTTATATAAATGCCATAATGTGATGTAATAACTATGCAAATACTTTATTTGCCTGCCTGGAAGTGACTCATAAGACCCATAAATGAAGGAAGTGAGTTGGAGATATTATGAGACACTGTGAGGAAAAAATAATAAATTATACATGATTGTTATAGTAAATTATAACCTAATGGCAACTAAGGGATGCTGTAGATACTTCATGAAATCCAAACTTCTGCTTTGTTCTTTAACAATGCAAATTCCAAATAGCTAAGACAAAGTTTTCCATATAATTATTTTTAGAAGTATAGCAGAGCAAATTTTTCACTTTTACATAAGCTCTGTTGGAATAAAAGATTAAGAAAGGTACATTTTCAAAAAAGTACTTAGTGGACTTTGACAGGAAGATGGTGCCATGCATTTGGTTTTTTTTGTTTGTTTGTTTTTGTTTTGTTTTGGACACAGCTTTTCTGTAGCCTTGGCTGTCCTGGACTCACTTTATAGACCAGGTTGGCTTTCAACTCACAGAAATCCATCTGCCTCTGCCTCCCTGAGTGCTAGGATTACAGGCGTGCATGACATGCCAGGCTGGCACCATGCATTTGTAAACTTAGCTAAATTGAAAAGATATATTGTGGAAGGCAAGACAGTTCAACAGGCAAATAAAATACATGATATGAAGCTATCTCATTTTAATGACTAAGCTTGGAAGAACTGAGTTCAATTCCTAGAACCCTCATGGTGGAAGGGGAGAACTGACTCTTTCAAAAAGTTGTTCTTTGACCTTCACGAATATGCTATGGTTCGTAAACATGATGCTCTTTCTGAAGTCCTGAGTTCAATTCCCAGCAATGACATGGTGGCTCACAACCATCTATAATGAGATCTGGTGCCCTCTTCTGGCCTGAAGGTATATGTGCAGACAGAACATTGTATACATAATAAATAAATAAATCTTTAGCTGGGTGACGATGGCACACACCTTTGATCCCAGTATTTGGAAGGCAGAGGCAGGCGGCAGAGGCAGGCAGTCGGAAGCCAGCCTGGTCAACAAAGCAAGTCCAAAACAGCCAGGGCTTGATACACAGAGAAACCCTGTCTCGGAAAAAACAAAACAAAACAAAACAAAACAAAAAACAAACAAACAAAAAAACTCAAACCCAAACAAACAAACAAACAAACCATGTTTTATTCTACTAAGACTACCAAGACTATTTAAATAAACCAATTACATTTATGAATTGACTATCATGAAAAATAATATATACATGGTGATCCCAGTTCCCATTTCTGAAATAATCATAAAAAGCATAAAGAATGGAAAAACATCCATTAAAATGTTGATAGTAATTTTCCTGATTAGTTATTTCCATTATCTTAATACACACACATACACACCCCACACTTGTAGTTTTCTCCTTCCCTCCTACCTTCTCTCTTTCTGACACAGGTCTCATGTATGTCAGACTACATTCAAACTTGCTTTGTAGTCCAAGAATGGCCTTGAACTCAGTGGGATTATAAACACACCACTACACACTGTGCAGTGCTAGGGATGAACCCAGGCCACATGCATACTAAGCAAGCACTCTAGCAACTGGGATACATTCACAAGGCTGTCTTAATATCAACAAAGACTCAGAATTATTTTTAAACAAGAAATATGCTTATATTAACCTTATTTTAGGCAGTAAGATAACATATAAACTATTAGAAAATTATTTATTTTAAAACATCTGATACATTAGGGAAATATATCTGACTTCTAAGTAAGCAGTTTGAAGATTTCAGCATTTTTCATGAGTCTATTTTCCTGTGCAAGGACTCACTCTACTGGCTATACAGAGAAAATATAGTCAGACATTTATGAAGCGAGTGATTATATTCATGAACACTAGAGGGCGATGTTTTTGTTTTCAAACTGATTATCACTTTATGTGTATACTTGAATGCATACTTAAATTTCACTTGAATATAAAATAATTTTGTATTTTATATTTTTATTTCCTAAAAAAATTAACATAAGCACAGCATATTTAAATATATTTTATAGATGTTTTAATACTTTCTTTTTCTTCGAGACAGGGTTTCTTTGTGTAGCCTTGGCTGTCCTGGACTCACTTTGTACACAAGGCTGGCCTCAAACTCACAGAAATCCGCCTCTCTCTGCCTCCCTGAGTGCTGGGATTACAGGCATGCACCACTTCACCTGGCTTGTGTTTTAAAACTTTTAAGACTAGATGGCTAAGTGCACAAAGTTCGTGATCTGAAACTATTTCATGTTAACTACTAAACATTTGACAACTGAGATTATTTCTTCTTACAATTTGATTAAAATATTAATTTATTAAAACTTAATACAATTAGTTAACTGATCTTTAGAAGAACACTAAAACTCTTTAACCCTCAAAACTCTAATTGCCTAAAGAGCTGAAAATACAGAACTAGCATTCAGAGAAGAAGTCAAACATAAATTTTAAAAAATTGAGCATTTTACAAGTTTTACAGTCTTTCTTAAAGGTACTGGGTATTAATGGGCAGCCAAACAATGCAAGTTTGAACTCTTCTATGAATCAGTCAAATAGGCTTTCTTACTGAATGCTACCCAAGTAATCTGTGGGATGGTATATCGTGATTATTAACTCTTAGTATATTTAATTATTAATTAAATATTTATTCACATCAAATTGTATTCATATACAATTTACATTTCAGATATACTTAAGAATTTATGAAACATTCCAAACATGCATGCAGGTATACTTTTTTTTTCATAAAATATGTATTGTCACATTTTGCTTAAAGTAGAACTAAAATTTTTACACACATATTTTGAGGTAGCAAAATACATGGAAGTTTACTAATAATGAAAGTAATGCCTAGCTGGTGTGTGCCTATAATACCAACACCCATGAGGCAGGCAAACATTTGTGAGTCTGAGGCCAGCCTGGTCTACAAAGCAAGTCCAGGACAGCCAAGGCTACAGAGAAACCCTGGGGAAAAAAAAAAAAAAAAAAAGGCAAACAGACTAGCAATTCACTCTTATGGCTTCCCCTTTACAGAGCCCCTCAAACAGATACTCTGCCTAACAAGTGGCTAGAGTTGGCAATAACAACAGTAATGGCTGGGATGATACACATACATTTAACTGAATTCATTTTCACGCCTTCCCCCTCCCTCCCAATTCTATTTGTAGAAAACATATCTTTGCTTAACTCTCTGCAAATAATATTTCAGGTTGAAGTCCTATAGCACTAGTTTCCAATTTTCTCTGAAACACAAGACAATACAGTGCAAAGAAATACCACTACAAAAACCACATCTACTCTAGTCTGGATCTCTACACTGGGCACTAAATATGCAAGTTTATTAAAATATGACATGCAAATCCTGAAGAAAAGTCTAACTCAAGAAATGAAATGTTAAGTCTGACCACACACAAGACTAAAACTTTTCAAAACTTTGCATTTTGACTTTGTAAACTGTTAACAAATTGAAATTCCACCTAAAAGAAGTCATGAAATTTTTTCACTTCTTTGATCTATGATTTTCAATATTTTAAAAATTTATATTCTCTAGATAGGAAATTTAAAATATCATTTTCTAGATACGTAAAGGCAAGACTCAGACACTAAAAAATATTGTGATTTTTGTCTTCTATACTGAAATCTAGAGCTTCAACATATCCCACTTTTATTGTCACAATGCTAGTGTATGTAACAGAAATAAGATTAACACACATACAAATACACACACACACACCTAACATACATACACCCCAAACAAAGAAATACACAAACCCAGAAACACTTACTTGAACCTAGCAGGTGAAAGAGGAGTAGGCGGAAACATTCCTGGTTCAAAAGAATCAAAGTAAGTCACTGTCCAAGAAAAGCTGCAACAGGAGAATCCAGCAGTCAGAGATATTATCAGCAGAGACCAGAATCCTTAATGGGAAGAGAGAAAAATATTAAAATAATTTCAACCTAGGTCTTCATGTCCAGATGCTGATGTAAATTTCAGAAGAGATTTGAGCTTAGCACATGCTAACCCATGTAAAGTACAAATCATTAGAACACAGTTATAGGTTGTATCAAATATCTTAATGAAATTATATGTACAAATGAAGACAAATTCTACCTAAAAATATAAGAAATTTGGTTTTATGACCTTCAACCACAAAGGAAAATAGTAAAAACAACTCAGCATTAGCATGTCTTCCAGTTTTCTTTTAACCTCATGAGCAATAAATAGCTGACATTTGCTACTACTTTGTACTGAGTGCTTTCTTTCATCACAAAACAAGTACTTCTGACATATCAACCAATTGTGGAATAGCTCCTCTTTATAATTGTCCTATGAAAATATCCTTGCTCAGTATACAAAACAAAGTTGAATTTCAACATACCAAGGAATTGGGAACTTAAACTGGTTAATTTAGAACTTTTTTTTCTCACAGGAATCAAATAAAAAGCATGGTACTATAGTGAACTCAAGTTGAAGAATAAGGGTTGGGAAGCAGAAGAAACAAACTGACAGGACACAGGAATAAATTGATCCAAAGATTTTTAGATACTATTCAAATCATGAAGGATATTAAAGTGATAATGACATTGCAGCCAGTCCTGAAGATACCTGATAAGCTAGCGTCAGGTGGAAGGGGAGGAGGACCTATCAGTGGACTTGGAAAGGGGCAGGGAGGAGATGAGGGAGGGAGCATGGGATTGGGTATGAGAGAGTGGAATACAGCTGGGATACAAAGTTAATAAACTGTAACTAATATTAAAAAAATAAAAACTTAATTAAAAAGGATAATGAACTGTTAATGTAATTCTCTTTAGTTGGAGCAGTTTTATTTATTACAACATATTTATTTTTATTTCACATGCATGAGGGTTTTGCCCATGTATATTTATGTGTATCATGTGTGCCTAGTGCCTGTAACGGTCAGAACAGTGTCTCAGATCCTCTGAAACTGGGACAATTTTACATAGGCACATGGGTGTTGGAAACCAAGACTCACTCTGTTACAAGACCAGCACAGAATGTCCTTCTCACTGCTGTGCCATCTCTCCAGTCCCTAGTTTATTTTAACTTTTATTTTAAAAAGTCTTTTTTTAAATTTAATTCATTATAGCTATTCAACAAAATATACTAAGGAACTACCTTTTATTTGGTACAGCGCTACTTAACGGGGACAAAACAGAAAACACATTGTCTTCGCAGAAATTTTGGTGAGAAGAAAATAAGAATGTAAATAAAATAGTAGCTAGAGATTGTGCTAATACTTTTTTGAATATATTTTATATTTCCTATGGTCTCTAGGGAGATAGAATTCAGATGGAGGCTGTGGTTCTCAAAAGAATTCTAAAGTTTATATGTTAAATAATAATACTCATCAGCATACTGCTACCAGATACTGAGTGTTACAGCACCTTGTATTTAACAATCAGTAGGAAAACATGAACTCAGTGGAGCAAAATACATTTAGAAAAGCCAACTAAGTCAGCTTGTAACATAGCAAAAGCTTGTCATAAAAAAAAAAAAACAATTTAAAATGTTACTGTTTGCTAGGAATGTAGCCCAATGTAAGACCCTTGCCTAGCTGATGGAATTTCTGTAATCGCTAAACTCCCCTAAGTCACAATACATTTAAGTGCAACCTAGAAGGAAAAATAGTTGAATTAATAGCCCACACTCCACACAATAAAATCTAAAACGTTATCAATGAACAAGGTATAAACTGGCATGGTGACATAGACCTGTAACTTCAAACTTTGGAGACTGAGACAGTGAGATCATGACCCTGAAGCCAGTCTTCACCTGAGCTACACAGGAAAACCTGCTCACAAATTTCATCTACTACAGAGAAACACATGTATATGTGCTATATATGGATAAGTCTATACTTTACTTAGGCTGTTGCTTTAAAAAAATAAACTCTCAGAAGTGATTGAGAATATAACACTGGTCCTCTGTAGGGAGAAGAAATGGTGACCAGGAGAAGTCTATTATGGGTATGCTTTATAAGTATTTTAAATTTTGACCCATGTAATTTGGGGAGGGGGGAAAGCAGGGTCTTACCATGTAGCTCTGGCTATCCTGGAACTCACTATGTAGACCAGGCTGGCTTTGAACTGAAGATATCCACTTGCCTCTGTCTCCTTAGTGCTAGCTAAAGTGCATGTACCACCACGCCTGGCCCATGTGATTCTTTAATCTATTCAAAAAAATCAGAGCAGAACCAAAGCTGGGAATATAGTTTAGGTGGTGGATTGCCTGTGCAACATGTATAAAGTACTGGGACCATTCCCAGTAGTGGGATGGCTGTAATCCTAGCATTGGGGAGGTGAAAGCAGAAAGGATCAGAAGATCAGGGTCATTCTCCCATATACACGAGTTGAGGCCCAGTCTGAGCTACATGAAACCCGATCTCAAAAATATGAAAGTAAACCCAGGTTCCAAAATTGTTTCTTTAGTAAGACAGTCCTTTTTAAACATAAGAGGGGCAGGAAAGTTGTACCATAGTTTATGTATCATCATATTCTGACTGTTCTTCAAAAGCAAGTTTACCAAGGTACACCGTTCATGAGTTGCTTTCAGAGCTCCAGAAAGAAATACAAAGGAACACCAAAAGATGCCAGGAATTAGCAATTTCCTGGCTACCCAAAAATGATGTACCACAGAATATTTTATCAAAAGGCAGGTAAGAAATATGTGCGTTTCTCTGTTTGTAAATCATGTGAAGTTTAGAACACTGACAATGTTGACATGTAAAAAGCAAAGTAATTAAACAATAAGAAAATGTACAAGTGCTTTGAAGCACTGATCTACATGTTTTCTCCTGATAGTTCCTCTTTTCTTGCCACCTCCTGTTTTTGTTACCCCACAAGTATGTGGCAAAGCAGAAAGGAGAAATACCTTATCTTTGGCTTTTATCTTGTGAAATTACAAAGCTAGTATACAGATTTAATCAGGGATAAAAAAATAAACATAATACTTCTTTGAAGAGAAAAAAATAATGAACTGTTTGGGAAACAGATGAAGCGTTTATATGGAACACAAAAAAGATGTTCCTACTTAGAATAAAGTGCACTAACCTGCAATATGAAGAAGGAAGGGATTCTTGACACGGCCATCCAGAAAAAGCTATACACTAGGCATAGCTAGTGTTTTGTACATCTTGGGAGCTGGCCCAAGAGTCATTCTGCATATATCTCTAAGTAGGGTACAGAAATAGCAGATGGTCCTGTGATTTAATACTATTTAATACTGTGATTTAAAGGACATCCAAAACAGAAATGCTAGATATTTCAACAGTAACTCACTTCACAAAATGCCATTAGAATGCACCTCAATTTCAAAACGCTGAAACAGTACCCAAGTCTAGGATCTTAGCCCAACCTGGAATCAGGAATCATAGTAAAGGCTGACACTCAACCTTGTTACTTAGTGAGGACATGGCAGAAATTACAAAATTTTGTGAACTACAATTTAGTAATGTTTTTTTTATTGGAAAGTGTTATTTGTTGCTTAATTAAATGAGCATCTCCAAAAAGAGGTAAATATAATAAAAAAGTTTACTCTAAGATTAGTACAATTTATACACGTTTATAAAATAAACATGCTAATCAAAGGGGAAAAAAAATCAAGATTACAGTCAGCTATGAAACTTCTAGATACCTAAAAAAGATAAAGAAGAAAATAACACTTAAAACTAAGCATCTGGCTACTTAAAAACCAATCAGGCCTTTCTATCTCAGAGCTTTCAGAGCACACCTGTCAATTTTACTATGAGTAGCCATCTCCTTTTTTTGTGGCTACTATTTATATAAATGAATTTTGTCATAAAGAGCTGTTACCCAATTGTGTACAAAGTATTCTTGAGATTGCCTATACTGATTATTATTGTACAGTCTCGGTACTGTCTCATCATGGACATTTAAATTACTTTTATATTCATTCTGAAGTAATCCAAAGCTACATGACTGGGAAGCCATGTCATAATAGTAAGACTAAGGCTGCACTGCAACTGTAGTCTAACTGTGCCCACGGTTCTGAGAATTTAAGGGAAAAAACAAACAAACAAACAAAAAAAAAAACCAACAACTCATCTATAAATAAGCAGAAAAGCAAAAAGCCACAGGTGTTATATCCAAAAACTTTGTCATGATAGCTCCAAAGTGAATCCTCAGGTAACATTTTAATACTATTTTTAAATTCATTTAACTTACTATTTACTTTGGATGAAAAACTGAAGGTACATGAAACAAAGTTAAAGTCTTCTTTCCCCGAATTAATTTACATCATCTCTACAAATAGTTAACTCGGAGTTTGTTGGCATCTTTGTAAAAGCTATTAGATTCTGGGAGCATAACACAGAGTACTCAGGTGAAGTTATTTTCTCTATATATTGACCAGAAATTTCCTATTTTTCACAGGGCAGTCTATGTTGAAGACTTTTCTTATCTGTACACACAGTCTCACCACATGTTTTTTTCAGACTTTTCACTATTACAAAAAAAAAAAAAAGTTGTAAATAACATTCTGGACTCTGCACATTAGAGGAGTATGTCACAGATTTTCAATGTGAAGTGCTATCAAAGGTACAGACCTTTAACTAAGTACATCTATCTTTAACTCAATTAATTAGTTGACAAAATGATGACACTTTTTATCTTTCCATCAACTGAAACTTTCTTGGCTTAATATTTTCAACTAATGCAAAAACCAGGGAGAGTGTAAATATCCTACTCAAACCCTTTTGTTAGTTTATCTTTCAAAATAGACTAGTTTGAAGGTATAGTTACTTTTCAAATAAATGTTAGCAACTGTCTGTGTTTCTATTAACCTTTTTGTATTAAAAAGTTGAGAGAAAAGTATGATGAATTCATATGTATACATCATTTAACTTTAAAGAACTAACCAACAGCCAACTCTTCTTTTCACCTGCTTATTCAAGATACCAGAGCAAACAGTCTCATGGAGTTTTGTTTTGTTTTTTCTTTTTTTAGAGCATACTGATTGATATAAAATGATTGAAAAATATTAAGATTTTAATATATTGAAAATATTAACATGACTGTTAACCTAAACTTAAAAATGTATACTGTGACTACACAATTTTAAGTCAATTTAAAATTGTGCTTCCCTCCCTCCCCCTCCTCTCATAGCTAATTTTAGAGAATGGGGCTTATGGAGCAAATTGGCTGTGATATTGCTATGTAGCTAAGGATAACCTTGAACTTCTGATCCTTCTGTTTCTGCCTCTCAACATGCATTACCAAGCCTTGCTAAAATTTGTTCTTTTAAAAGTATTTTTCTTGACAGTTACATTTGATACAAATATTAAACAACCCATAATCCAAACCCCTGATAACCTGTCATTTTTGTTACATCCTTCCAGACTACTGACTTTCGTTTTCTCTTTCCTCTAGTAATTCTTTTGAGGTTATGCAGTTTTACAAAGATGGTACTACAGCACAAAGTAACATGTTAGTGAATGTTTAGGTGAAATAGTTATGTTACCCCATACAGATACAAATAATTGAACTTTTCCGTAATCGTTTGTGGGTTTAATTGGAAGAATCATACATTGGATAAGTCAAATTCTGAGTTTACAATTTTTCACCTTAAGGAAGAATTGAGCTTTTTTAACACCTATTTTACTCTGGGTCATTTTCAGACCTTTGGCTTTTCTTTGAAACTTTAACTATATTCCTAAAATTTTGCAGCATGAAGTCATAATAGTTGGAGCCTCATTTATTCCTCTGAAAAAGAACTCTTGAAATTTTCAATGAGTTCACTTAAGATTAAAATCAGAATTTGTCAATTATTTCTTCCCTAAAACATAGGCAAAGATTCCTAGAATCTTGTCAGGTATACCAACTATACAAGCAGCTCTAATAAGTCAAATCTGGTCTTGTTAAAGGATGACAGGCACATGTGTAATCACTTTTAGAAGCTGTGTTTGTTTGTATTTATGTATACAAATGTACAGGTCAGCTGATTGGTTTTATTCTGACTAGGAGTCTTCCTATGCTGCCTAGCTCCTGAGATCAAGCAATCCATCATCATCAGCTTTCCAAGGTATATAACATACCCAATCTAGAGGCTTCAAAAGTCACTAAAAGCTGAGCATCAAGTCTCACAATATAATTTTTGTATGGTAGAAACTATGACACACATATAAAAATACTAGCTCTACATATTTTTTGTTAAGCGTTTTCTTCTAAAGGCAATTCCATGTACTCCCCTAATGACTTTTCCAGGTTTGCCAAAACTGAAATGTTATCATACTATATCCTGGGAAATATTAGACTCCAGAAAGTTACACAAAATTATGCAACATTGGAAATAGAACAAAGTTGTCATTTGTGAGAAAACTTCTAAAACTACAACCGATGCAAAAGCCAATAGGCAAAACTAAATAATTCAATATTGTATGTGTTTAGCACAATCATTCTTGCCTGAGAACAATCTTAAAAGAGGAATGAGTGATATATCTTATTAAACAAGTAATTTTATTAATCTCTTGGAAGACTAAGTTCAAAGTAAGTGATGATGTGCAAGAAAGTTTTAAAAGAAGAGCTCTCATCTGTAAATTCTCCAGTGTGATCAATGCCATTCAAAAACAGTTTTAACCACCCAGCCTGATGACCTCAGGCTGAAAAGTTATGCTGTATTAAAGTCTAATACTTGTCAACCACACCCACTAACTCTCCCACATGCATCCCTTTAAACCAAGCCCTTGGGAGGCAGAGGCATGTAGATCTTTGAGTTTGAGGCCAGGCTAGTTTACAAAGAGTATTGGTTCCAGGAAGGCCAAGGCTACATAGAGAAACCCTGCCTTGAAAACAAAACAAAAACAACTCTCAACAATTCTTCTCCTGCCATAACAAACTTTTTCTTTAAAAATAGAACAAAATAATAATTACAACAAAAAATAAATAGTGCAAACAGGCTTCTCTTGAACAGTTTTTTCAGGGGAACACAGATGACTACACAACTGCAGTATTTAGCAACTTTAACGGTAAACTCTGAACTCTAAACCAGCCCCCAATTAGTTTTCCTACCTAAGAGTGGCTGTGATCGTGGTGTCTCTTCACAGCAACAGGGCACTGATTAAGACAGTACACAATACTTATAACCTAGTTGAAATTTTCAATGTTTATTCAAAACTTAGGCTGTTTTTTAAATGTCTTTAAAAGGATAAAGATATAATAACCTAGGCACTTCCCTGTGTTATGATAATGAATGATTTTTTTTCTTGTTATCTTAACACATTTATTTGTTTTGATTTGAAGGACACTTACTAGAATTGGCTTCTCCACCGTCTCAAGGAAAAGTTTACTTAGAGGTCTACTGTCAATTCAAAAGACTTTGTAAGGCTGGCCATGCATTTATTCTCAGAGAATTCAAGCTCAAAGACATATACAGACGAGTACTGCCACAATCGCCTCAATTTTATCAGTGACGTAAGAATCTTTGCAGTGCTGGGGATCAGAACATACGTGCTAAATAAAGTATCTATCACTGAACTACACACTCAACCCAGATGTTTTCAAGAATGCTCTTCTGTTGGAAAAGATCATCTGTCCACATGCTATAAAGACGTATTTCCTATAGGCCAAACTATGCTTACTTTAAAATGAATCCCCATAAATCTGACTGAGCTAGCCTGGCCAGTGACACTGACTGTATTTACTCTACAGTTGGTCAGAGCCTCATAGAGCTTTCTGTCTTGGCACAGTTGTTTCTGCTACAAAAATAGTTGTTTTCCTCATTCCTAAATTTTAATAGTAAAATACCTCAAACAGGTAAAGTTCTAAACTCTTTAAAATCATCCATAAGAGCGACAGAGACCATTAATAAACCTCTTCAGCAGAAAGCTATAAACTACATAATGTATGACATCTTGGACAATAGAAACTCAGCCGACTTACCTAGCATTAATAATTCTTGCTTTAAAATTTTTATCTTAAGACACATTGCCTACAAAAAACTGTGGGCATTAAATTCTCATGAAGTCTGTTTCAGATACGTATGCTGGCTAAATCTGTGGGCAAGTTTCTAGTTCTAAATTCCTGAAGCACTACAGGGAGCCTCCTGGAGAACATAATTAGAAACTACTCCAAGTATTTACTGGATCCAAGTCATGCAAGTTGTGCTGAATTCCATATACACATATTAGTGGCCAGTATACAATTACAGAAAAAAATCTAACAGAAATCTAATAACATTTACCACAAACATACAAATGAAAACTGCTCCTGAATCAACTACACATAGTATATATAAAATATTTATCCCAAAGTCTGTATAACTTAAACATAATTTGGAAAAACAAAAATAAGTGATTGGATGAATAAAATGATCAGTTCATACCTAATAGCCCAGTATGTATATCATCTTCATTTTTCAAATTTTCTGCATGCAACTCTGTAAATACAAAGAGAGGTTTAGGTAGAAGAATAGTTTTTCTTCATGACATGAATATCCAAATGCGTTGAACATACTGTTAATTATCAAAAGTACCCTGGAGTCAGAGCTTGGTTCAACTTCTGGTTTAATACCTACGCTACCTTCAGCAAAGCAAATACCTTCACAAGAGTCAACTACCATAAACATGAGAAGAGGGTTTCTCACCTGGGTTTTGAACAATTTGTACAAAAGAAACTTAAGCGCTCAGTAGATTTTTAATTCAGTTCCTTGCTCCTTTCTCCAAAATACCAATGTCTTCTGCAATAAACTTCTACTTATGGGTATATAACTTTATGCTACAAAAGAAAATTAAACTGTGTGCATGATAAAACTGTCAAGATTGAAGGGAAAAAAAGGTGAAAGATAGGACAGATTTGAAGCAACAGCAGTCAAACTTTTAAGGTCCACAGTTAACAGCCAATAATATATTTTGAAGAAGTAATGTCTTCTCCAAGAAAATCAAATCAAACAAATGAAAACTGTTCAAGAGCCACCTGCAGCCCTTTAGAGACTGGGGGAAAATAAAGCAAAATTGAAGAAATTTAATTTTAATTAGTAACGGTAACACAAGAATTACAAAGTGTTGGCTCCTTTTAATACAAGATAACTTCCCTCCCAACCCCTCGAGACAGGGTTTCTCTGTGAAGCCTTGTAAACCAGGCTGGCCTCGAACCCAGAGATCCGCCTGCCTCTGGCTCCCTGAACACTGGAATCAATGGCGTGCGCCACCAAAGCCCGGCTAAGATACTCCTTTGTTTTTTTGTTTGTTTTTGAGGTTTCTATTTCTCTTTCCACTCTAATGAATACTAAACCACACAACAAATTTGAATAGGGGAAGTACAAAGGGGCTTTTCAAAGCATTCCTACTCGACCATTTGATCTCTGTCTCTGTAGAACAGATTCTGTCCTGCAATAGCTCTATCTGGTTACAAAGCACAAAAGAGAAGAAAAAGTACTCTGCCTATAAAAGTAGAGATTCGGGATGCGGGGGAGAAATTCTTGTCCTTCAATTTATCTATGTTCGGAGAAGTGCATACATAGCGCGTCTCGAAATATTTATGAATCAACTGTAGAACATACACAGACTGTTTTGGTTACATGCACTTTTCACGACCCCTTTAAAAGCAGGGACTGATTAAACGGACGTGCTTATGTGTTCAATGCCTTTACGGCACTTACGAGTGTGGATTTAATCAAAGAACCTTTCTAACCGGTTCTCATTATGGAGCGGGGACCTCCACCTAGGGGGAGAAGACAAAAGGAGGAAGGGCAAGGAGAGGCACAGTTTGGAGGGAAAGCTTTGGGAGGAAGCTGTGAATGGGGGCGAGTGATGTACCGGCTCGACCTGACTCCGGACACACTTTCAAGGCCTGGGCCTCAGTACCTTTAACGACCAGGTAGGCGATGGCGAGGAGGAAAGCAAGGAGGGCGGCGAACAGCAGCGAACAGAGGATGGAAAGGACCTGGATGGGCCACCGCCGAGCCTGGGTCCGGCTGGCCGCGGGGGCCGGGAAGAGGCCGTTGCGCTTCTCCCGCAGGACCGGCGACCCGTCCCCGACCCGCGGGCACAGCGGGACTCTCCGGAGCTCCGACCACGCCCCGGCCGAGAACTCCGCCCGCAGGTCGCGGGCCACTCGGTCGCATCCCTCGTCCTCGTCGACTTCGCCCTCACCCCGGCTATCCCCCGGCGTGAAGCCGGAACGCGCGGGCCGCGTCCCAGGACCTGGGGTGACCTGGCGGCGCCTCCGCGCGGCCGCGGACCTCGCACTCTCCACGAACGACATGGCGGGAAAGGCTGAGAGACCCGCGAAGGTCGAGCGGCCGCCACCGCCACGCCCCCTCCCCGGCGGCAGCCAATCAGCGCCGGCCGTCGGCGGGGCCAACCACGGCGCGGGGAGAGCTGGGGGGGCGCGCGAGCCGCGGTCCAGGGCTTCCTCTTCCGGACGCGCCGGGGTCCGGGGGGCGGGAGGGGGAGGCTGGAGCGCGCGCCCGCGGCCCACGACCCACGAGTACACACGACCTAACCTAGCCGGCCCTTCCCGGCCCTCGGGGCGCACACCGCCCGCCCCCTACAACAGCAGCCTCCCGCTCGGCTCCGCCGCCAATCGCCGCCTCCCTCTGGCGAGTGAGCTCCGCCCCTCGCGGCGCCCACGCCGCCGGCGACGGCGCGCGCAGCTCGAGGACGGCCCCCCCCGCCCCCGCCCCACTCCGCCCCCGGGGCCTCGGCGCCCCCTCCTCCGCCAGCCGCGCGCGCGCGCGCACTAGGCCGCTAACGCCGGGTGCCGCTTTCCCCGCCCCCACCCCACCCTTGGCGGCCTCAGGTTTGTGGGGCGAACGTGACTAGGGCGGGGAGGGGGTGGCGAAGGTGTCAGGACGCCACTGCCCCACCCCCGGCGGGGTGAGGCGGCCCAAGCCCGGGAAGCTGGGGCCCGGCCGCGTCCCCTTTCCTGGGGGAAGTTGGTGGAGTTTTCCCGGCAGAGCGCTCAAGGCAGAAACTTCCTCCGTCCCCCTCCCCCCTCTCCATGCAGGCGGCGCCGAGCGAGGCTGAGGCTGGGGGCGAATCGCCGCAGAGCTGCGTGTCGGGCGCGCGCTCTGATTGGACAGGCGGGAAGCCTGTCAGTTTATTGGCCCCGCTGGTCCCGCCCCGTAGCTCAGGGCAGCCTTTACCCTTTGGCCCCGGCGGGCGTCAGCCACTCAGATCGCTTCTTGTTGGTATGTGTAGCGGCAGTGGCCGCGGACGGAGCAGTCTGAGCCCGACGATGAGGCCGGGGACTGGAGCCGAGCGCGGAGGCCTCATGGTGAGTGAAATGGAGAGCCAACCTCCCTCGCGGGGTCCCGGGGACGGGGAGCGGAGATTGTCCGGCTCAAACCTGTGCTCCAGTTCTTGGGTTTCTGCTGACGGCTTCCTGAGGAGACGGCCCTCGGTAAGGGATCGGCGGGGTAGGGGAAAGCGGCACAATGAAAACCCGAGTCAGAGAAACAGGAAGCTTCCTCCCAAAGGAGAGGAGTACACCAGGAAGAGCTCCAGATGGTGGGCTGCGTCCCGGGGGACAGCGTGGAGGGCGGGAATGCACAAAGGAGGAGGATGTGGGACCTGGGACGTTCCAGTGGTCTCGGCCTAGGCAGAAGCCTCAGGACGGCGCCGGCCCCGGGGGCTCCGTGCGTCTAGCAGGGAGACTTAAGTCTGTGGGACTTACAGAGAGGCTGCCATATATTCTCCGGTAGTCGCGGTGGTTTGCAGGGTTGAGGAATTCTGTTGGGAGGATTGGCAACGGGTACTTAGTTTCAGGTCAGGAACAATGGACATATAAATGTAAAGAACGTATTAAATCTTAAGCTGCCTTTTTAGAACGGATGAGTTTGTTATTTACATTTAGTTTCTGGGACGGAATGACAGCCTATGGTGTTTTAACCATAGTGAAATATTTGTCTTAGGAACTAGTAATGCTTATTTCTTAGTGAAATACTCGTGGGTACCCACACTGCTTAATGTCCAAACCTCATCCAGATTAATGTGATTTAAGTAATATAAGTTGGTTAGATGTATAAAGGGGACAAAGTTGAGGTCACTGTAACATTTTTTAAGTTGAAATAGAATACATAGCCACCAAGTGCAGCCAGTCATTTAACAATTGGTTAACATTGTAGAGGAGTCTGTAATCCACTAACGGCTTTATCTTTTCCATATTTTATTCATTCTCAGGCACCTTATCATGACCACTGTAGTGAATTTTTTTTTTTTTGTTTTAAAATTAGTATTAGTATATGCTAATCCAGTTAATCACATTGCCTTAATATTGTGCCTTACAGGTTAATTGTTTTTGTTTGGTTTTTGAACTGACATTTGAAAGAAACATTTACTGTGTTTTGCTCATTTTTCATTCTTCACTGTTTTTCAGATGGGACATCCTGGTATGCATTACGCACCAATGGGAATGCACCCTATGGGTCAGAGAGCAAACATGCCTCCTGTACCTCATGGAATGATGCCACAGATGATGCCTCCTATGGGAGGGCCTCCAATGGGACAAGTAAGAATATGTTTTTGTTTTGTTTTGTTTTTTGTTTTTGTTTTTTACTTATGGCTTATTTTTTGGTCAGTGCTGTACTTGTAGCTGTGTAAAGGCTAGTTTATATCCACAAACTGTTTTCAAACAAGTCAAACGTTACATTGATTGTGGTTGTAATGAAATCTTAAATGTGGTAAGACTACAAAAAAAAATTTTAATGACTTTCTTAGCAAAATTAAGTTTAAAAAAAAATCTTTAGGCCAGGCCGTGATGGCACAAGCCTTTAATCCCAGCACTTTGGGAGGCAGAGGCAGGCAGATCTCTGTGAGTTTCGAGGCCAGCCTTGTCCACATAATGAGTAACGGTATACATCTATGCTCTTTAACTTAGTACTTTTTCAGGCATTTTAATTATTAATAGTCTAGGAGTAAATATATGTCAAATGATAAGTTTTAGCGAACTGTGTAAATGCATAGCATCAGAAAAATAATAAATATTGGGAATTTTCTTTTAGAATGAATTTTGTTCTTGGAATCTTCCTCTTGTTTGGGGTGTGGAGGGATTTTTCGGCTCTATTACTAATTCTTCCCTGGACAGTGCCAAATAGGCAGCTCGTTTTCTCCTTAATTTTTTTTGAAACGACTATTGCTTCTACACTCCTGCTTGTGCGTTGCCCCTTGCATCTCTAGCACAAATCGTAAATGGACATTTTGTGGGAGTTTTTTGGATTAAAAGATTTTATACTGACTCAGTGACACTAGTAGACAGACCTTCTAGAGAAGTGTTCAAGAAAGGCAAGAGATTCAGTTCTTTGAACCGTTGTGTTCTATGCTAGGTTCTATACTGATTCACAGATCCTTGGGTGGGCTGGGTTATTCCAATTGAATGTCTTGATAAACCCTGAAAATATTCCGTTAGCAAGCTACTTTGGAAAGCTAGTTGTATATTTTCTTTTGCTAATGAGTACTGTTGAGTTCGATAATGGTTTAAGCAATGAAGACGAGATATTGGTGAAATTGCAGTGGAAACAAGAGCTTGTTGGGGTTCTCTTTTCTTTTACTATGAGAGCAGAATGGCTCAATGTCAAGTGATTTTCTTTTATATTTGGAATATAGCCCTTAATTTTGTATGAACATTTTTATTCAAAGGCACCAGACTGAAAAGATTCTGCCTGCAGGAGTTCCTTATATAAAAGATTCTTTGGCTCTGTTACTCTAGAATAACAATACTTTAAAGCTCCCTAGGATATGTAGAGACAACTCTGATTCTTCTTCTGTATTTTTCCATCTCAGCAGCACAAAGCCCTTCTTGTTTTCTTGGTAGAGCTGCTCTAACTAGATAATGAGCTTTAAAAAATATTTATTCTTTAAATGCTCTGGTTCTTATTTAAAATTAGTTTCTTTCCACAGAAAGATAAAATAAAACAATTTGCTACTGCCAGATGCTTCTCTCTTTTCTGGGGCCTTCTGTTTCCATTGGGCCAGTCAAGGTAAGTTTTGCAAGGGGTTGACCTGCTTACCCTTGCTGTAATGGTGCTGTTGCACTAGCAAACCTGAGGTGCCAGCTATTCATTTTCAGTATAGTGCAGATTTTTTTTTTTTTTTTAAGTAATTGGCATACACTGGTCACAGTTTGTTTTATGGCCCCTTCTCTTAAGATTTGCCAGTGACCACTTTCCTTATACGTTTACTTGCTACTTACATACTTCAGATATTCTGAATTTTGCTTCAAGGTTTTCCTAGTACTCTTTTTCTAGGCCAATATATTCCATGCACCATTAAGTACACCTACTATTTAAATGTTTAGAATTCTTTCTCCCTCTGTGAGGATAGGGAATGAATGCTTTAGGAGACCAACTCTGAAATTCTCAAGAGAATTGCCGTTTACTCAGAATTAGATCATTATCTAGTGCCCCTTCCTGCCTAACAAATATGGGTCCTAACAAGCTAGTTAACTTTTCTTAGCTTTAGGAAACTGGGAAAGTATGATAAGCTGAATCCCTAAGGACTCTAGGAATCTTTCTTAAAGCTCTGTGAACTTTCTCTTAATGATGAACTTATCGTTTTTCTACATCATTTCTTCTGTTTGCATATGCTCAGAATCATTAATAAACAGTATTATAATGAGAAGAAGCAGGGTGCTTGTATCAGCGAATGTATAGTTTTGCCATCCTTCTCTTTAAAAGTTTATTAAAAACTTTTTTAGGTTTTAGGACTAAGAGCTATATAATCAAAAATAGTTGACCCTTTATACCTGCGAAGTTCTTTTTCCATTGTTTCAACAAACTATGGGCCTATAGTACATGAAAAATGAATTACATTTTTCCAGACCACAAATAGACCTTTTTGCCTTCTGATATTCCCTATTGAGCACATGAAACAGCTGTATAGCTACCTATATAGAGAGCATGAATATCGTGTTAGGTATTATAAGTAATCTAGAGATGACTTAAATTATATGAGATGCCCCTAGTTATATGAATATATTATACTTTTTTTATACAAGGGACTTTGACATATACCAAGGTCTTGGAACAGGTCAGTCTTCTGTCAGATATTTGCTGTGGTGACCACATTTAAGTTACTTACATTGGTTAGACTAGCCAAAGACTAAAATAAGCAGTCTGTGTTTGCTGAATGATTGAGGTCTTCGAATTGTTACTACATATGACAAGACATTTTAAAGCTTGTTTATAAAACAGTATGCAGACTAGACAATGATCTAGGTTAAAACAGGGCTTGCAAAATAGAAATCCACTTAGTTACTTCTGTGTTAAGGGGTTTCTCCCCTTTATTTTTTTAATTTATAAGAGAAGCTAGATTACCGGTTTCTCCAGTTCAGGCTGATTTATCTTGGCAAACTACCTAGAAATAGCAAATGTAACAATCATAATGTCTTTCAAATTTACCTCAGTTACCTAGATTAAGTTACCGCCTGATACACCTAACTTTTGGGGAAAGTCATACCTGTCAGTTACAGAATTATAAGATTAAACTGCTAGAAGGGACCTTAACTTTAAATGGTATGTTATGTAAGTAGTTATTTTTGGAGGCGTTGTGTTTTTATTT